CACCCTCACCACTCACGCTCACCACTCACCTCACCCCTCACCGCTCACCACTCACCCATCACCGCTCACAACTGCCCCTCACCCTCACAACAACCACTCACCCTCGCCGCTCACCACTCACCCTCAGCACTCACCCTGACCACTCAACCTCACCACTAACCCTCACCATCACCACAAACCCTTACTACTCACCACTCAACCTCACCACTCTTCGTCACCACTCACCCTCACCACTCACCCCTCACCATCACCACTCACCCTCACCACTCTCCCTCACCACTCACCACTCACTCTCACCATTCACCACTCACCGTCACAACCACGACTCACCCTCACCACTCACCCTCACTACTCACCATTCATCCTGACCAATCACCACTGACCAATCACCACCCACCACTCTCCACTAACCCTCACCACTCAACCTCACCACTCACCCTCACCACTCACCCTCAAAGCTAACCACTCTCTCACCACTCACCCTCACCACTCAGCACTCACCCTCACCACTCACGCTCACCACTCACCCATCACCACTCACAACTGCCACTCAGCGTCACCACTCACGCTCACCACTCACCACTCACCGCTCACCACTCACCCATCACCGCTCGCAACTGCCACTCACCGTCACCACTCACCCTCACAACAACCACTCACCCTCACCGCTCACCACTCACCCTCAGCACTCACCCTCACCAGTCACCCTGACCACTCACCCTCACCACTAACCCTCACCACTCACCCTTACCACTCAACCTCACCACTAACCCTCACCATCACCACTCACCCTTACTACTCACCACTCAACCTCACCACTCTTCGTCACCACTCACCCCTCACCATCACCACTCACCCTCACCACTCTCCCTCACCACTCACCACTCACTTTGACCATTCACCCTCACCATTCAGCCTCACCACTCACCGTCACCACTCACCCTCACCACTCACCGTCACCACTCACCGTCACAACCACGACTCACCCTCACCACTCACCACTCAACCTCACCCTCACTCCTCACCATTCATCCTGACCAATCACCACTGACCAATCACCACCCACCACTCTCCACTAACCCTCACCACTCAACCTCACCACTCACCCTCACCACTCATCCTCAAAACTAACCACTCTCTCACCACTCACCCTCACCACTCAGCACTCACTCTCACCACTCGCGCTCACCACTCACCACTCACCGCTCACCACTCACCACTCACCCATCACCACTCACAACTGCCACTCACCCTCACCACTCACCCTCACCGCTCACCACTCACCCTCAGCACTCACCCTCACCACTCACCCTGACCACTCACCCTCACCACTAACCCTCACCACTCACCCTTACCACTCAACCTCACCACTAACCCTCACCATCACCACTCACCCTTACTACTCACCACTCAACCTCACCACTCTTCGTCACCACTCACCCCTCACCATCACCACTCACCCTCACCACTCTCCCTCACCACTCACCACTCACTCTGACCATTCACCCTCACCATTCAGCCTCACCACTCACCGTCACCACTCACCCTCACCACTCACCGTCACCACTCACCGTCACAACCACGACTCACCCTCACCACTCACCACTCAACCTCACCCTCACTCCTCACCATTCATCCTGACCAATCACCACTGACCAATCACCACCCACCACTCTCCACTAACCCTCACCACTCAACCTCACCACTCACCCTCACCACTCATCCTCAAAACTAACCACTCTCTCACCACTCACCCTCACCACTCAGCACTCACCCTCACCACTCGCGCTCACCACTCACCACTCACCGCTCACCACTCACCACTCACCCATCACCACTCACAACTGCCACTCACCCTCACCACTCACCCTCACCGCTCACCACTCACCCTCAGCACTCACCCTCACCACGCACCCTGACCACTCACCCTCACCACTAACCCTCACCACTCACCCTTACCACTCAACCTCACCACTAACCCTCACCATCACCACTTACCCTTACTACTCACCACTCAACCTCACCACTCTTCGTCACCACTCACCCTCACCACTCACCCCTCACCATCACCACTCACCCTCACCACTCTCCCTCACCACTCACTCTCACCATTCACCCTCACCATTCAGCCTCACCACTCACCCTCACCACTCACCCTCACCACTCACCGTCACAATCACGACTCACCCTCACCACTCACTCTCACCACTCAACCTCACCCTCACTACTCACCATTCATCCTGACCAATCACCACTGACCAATCACCACCCACCACTCTCCACTAACCCCCACCACTCAACCTCACCACTCACCCTCACCACTCACCCTCAAAACTAACCACTCTCTCACCACTCACCCTCACCACTCAGCACTCACCCTCACCACTCACCCTCACCACTCACGCTCACCACTCACCGCTCACCCTCACCGCTCACCAATCACCCTCACCACTCACCCTGACCACTCACCACTCATCCTCACCAATCACACCCTCACCACTCACTCTCACCATTCACCCTCACCATTCAGCCTCACCACTCACCCTCAACACTCACCCTCACCACTCACCGTCACAACCACGACTCACCCTCACCACTCACCCTCACCACTCAACCTCACCCTCACTACTCACCATTCATCCTGACCAATCAGCACTGACCAATCACCACCCACCACTCTCCACTAACCCTCACCACTCAACCTCACCACTCACCCTCACCACTCACCCTCAAAACTAACCACTCTCTCACCACTCACCGTCACCACTCACCCTCACCACGCACCCTCACCACTCACCACCACCACTCACCCTCACCACTCACGCTCACCACTCACCCCTCACCGCTCACCACTCACCCATCACCACTCACAACTGCCACTCACCCTCACAACAACCACTCACCCTCACCGCTCACCACTCACCCTCACCATTCACCCTGACCATGTTATGTTTGAAAGTTTTCAGGAGTTTTTAATAATATTTTTGCCTCGGTCAACGCCGGATATTTCCCATTCGTAGCAGTTTATATCGACTCTATAATCAACTTATTTTAAACGGGAAGAGGGCGATTCTAAATGAATCTACAACCATCGATTCCTTCGCGCGATTCAGAGAATCGATTCTTGGCGCGTCGGGTTTAAAAGTAATTGCACAGTTGTATTTTCATTGGTATGTAATGTTTTAAAGTTTTCAGAAGATTTTAAATGTATTTTCCCCCCGGGCACCGCTGGGTATATCGAGTTTATAACACAAAGTCGTCGCCTGAGACGTGTGGCGTGTCGAGGCCTAGTACCGTGCAGAGCCTCCGGCCTCGCCTAGATCGCCCGGCCGAGGCTAGGGGCTGGGCCGCCACCTCCCCCCCCCCCCCCCCGCGCTACAAAAATACTGTCTAATCGCTATAATTGTATTATCTACCGACCCTAGAAATCGCACAAAATCGATAATCGGACCGATTTAAAGGCGACGGACGAAAAATCGGAAATGCCTACATTCACCGCGGGGCCGGGGGCGTGCCCATCTGCAAAATATTTCTTCCTAAACCCCACGGCCCGAGCGCCAAATCCCTCGCAAACGAGCGTACGCAGAGGGACAGACGGACAGACAAAAAGTGACGTTTATAGGTTAGAATAGATACAAGACGTAAGTCGCACACATTAGTACTATAAGCATTTGTGTAATTACACTTGGCACTGCTCACATGGGTTGCCCCTAGCAACGCGCACACGATCGGCGCAAATTTTAATTTGCCTTAAACATGCAGCAAAAACACACGGAACACGTAAGTTATTCACAGTGCGATGTCCTCTTCACCCCACCCCAATGATACCCCAATGCGTCCTGAAACTACTATAGAGCCCCTACATATTCTTCTTCTAGCGCGTACATGCCATTATTGTAGCGCGGCCGAGGGGAGCGGTCCAGCCTGCCAAGGTCGCACCTCGGCGGGCTGGGAAATCTAGGCGAGGCCGGGGCTCTGCACGGGACTAGGCCTCACTTCGGCACTCTGTCTGCTTACTACTTTGTGCTATAGATTCGATATATACTGCTATACAGTCAGCATGTACTGCTGTAGTGCTAGCAGGTATCCACCACAGTCACTATACACTGCTGTAGTGAAACCAGGTACCACCACAGTCAGTATACACTGCTGTAATCATACCAGGTACCACTACAGTCAGTATACACAGCTGTAATCATATCAGGTACCACCACAGTATACACAGCTGCAGTGAAAGCAGGTACCACCAAAGTCGGTATGCACTGCTTTATTCATACAAGGTACCACCACTGTCGCTTGCCCTGCTGTAATCATAGCAGGTTACACCACAGTATGCACTGCTGTAGTTAAAGCAGCTACCACCACTGTATGCACTGCTGTAATCATACCAGCTACCACCACAGTCAGTATCACTGCTGTAATCATAGCAGGTACCTTGTGGATTGACAGATGCACAGATGAATATGATAGCGCATGAATGAATGAGTGTACAGGTGGACAGCAAATGAATGAACAAGATTCTTTATCGCCATTGAAAAAAAACTAACATTGTAATCAATCACCCTATACGCCTGCTGAACCAACGTATCCTACAACAGCATACGAGTGTGTTTCATACATTACCTGGGTGTTTGTTTCTTATGTATGATCGGTATGCGTTCTACACACGATCCATATGTGACATCAAACAACATATTTGCCGGCTTTCTGAATGATCTGCACGTGGTTCACGCATGATCTCTATGTTTCACACGTGTTCTGTGTGCTTGGCCGGGACCATCCTCGGCCGCCTTTGTCACTCGAGTTGCAATGTGTTCACATTGCACCAGATACTCATTTAAAGCCGACCTCTGGAGATACAGGACCGGTTCAGATTATCGCCACTGGTGATGGTGGCCGTAAGCGGGAATCGGGTCATTGGATTCATCATAGTGCAGCTTTATAAACCCACACACTCACAGACAGGACTGCAATTCATCCACCTCGCGCATCTGTGCCAGGAACTTCCAATCGTGGAGCGACGCACGAATGAAGAGGCGCGAATGAAGAGACCCGACTTCCCATCGGGACATGATGGCTGGCAGGCGGTTGATGCTATCCCGCAGGAAGCGAGCGCAGGTAACGCTCACCTGAGCGTCGCGAGGCATGCCCCGGAGGTGGTATCACGTGGGACGATGCATGTGCGTCCACGCCCTTTCACGAATCCGTTGCTGTATAGGGACCTCCTCACCGCCACGACCTAGTGGATCGTTGACCATACTTCACCACGCTGGTCGGTGCGGGTTGGTTGCAGGCGTGGGAAGCGGGGCACTATGCAAGGGTTCATGTTGCTGTACTGCCCGTTTGCTGACCACGTGGCCCTTGCTAGGTTCATTCAGCGAGTGCGCAATCGCCGAGCCATGCGACAGCGCCCCCGGTTTGCCACGTGCAGCTCTCGTAGACGATGACAACAAACACGCACCCTGCTCTACGAAGCCTGACAGTGGTCATGATGATGGCGGTGGTCGTGGTTCGTGTGGTACCTCCCCATCAGATTAACAAAAACTTAACATTTTTTTATTTTACTCGGTAAAGCTCAATGAGCTATATAGGTGTTTCTCAGAAGCTACCTGGCAATCACAAATGATAGCTCAACGAAGTGGCTTATCACGTGGATATGTATTGCAGCCTCGATATCACAGCCAAATACAAACCCTCTGCGGGTAACCATGAGCCCGGGCAGCAGGGGGGAAGTGGGCAGATGGTCAGGGGCCAAGGAGCAAGGGGAGGATGGAGAAGGGCAGCGGGGAATGGGTCAGTGGCGCGGAATGTTCTAGTGATGCAAATGTTAACTGATATTTATTGAATACAACTAGAACAATTTACAAGTGTGCAATCATCGATATGATGTTGATTATAATGTTTAACGATAATTATATTGAGATTAGGATATGCAGGAGATAGTGATGATAATGCTAATGTCTTTACGCATGGTGATGGTAGGGAACTATCAATCTGGTGATGGCTGGGGAAGTTGAAGATGGTGATGATAGTGCTCCTGCTAAGTAGTGGTACTTTAGATGATGATTACGATGCTGCGACTATTGCTGTAGCTGCTGGAATAATAATGATTCTGCATCTGCTGCTGACAATGATGATGCCCCTCTCCACCCACCTTCGTCCACCCCCACAGTTTCCGAGGAGGAGCGCCGCGTGGTGGTGTAAGCACTCAGCCTGCTGAAGCGCGGGAGTGCAGAGAGGCGACCCCACGAGGTGGAGACAGGAGGGACAGGGTCCTCCTGGGGGAACAAAGCGAGCGGCGTCCTGGCGGGGTCGAGAGGGCAGGAGACGCAGCGGATATTGGCAGGGCTCTGGATGTACGCTCCATTGTAAACTCCGATTAGTACCTGATTGTATCCCTCGACGGGGACCCTATTGGGGCCCCAATGGGCAGGGACCCAGGTGGGGACCCACTACCCCCCGAGGTGACAGTGCCAGTTCTTGAGGAGACTGCACTGGGCTGGGATTTATCGGCCGAGGTGCGCGTGGCGAAAACAAGCACGTGACACCGCGTGAGTGTGCGGGCCACGAGGCCACTTACACGGGCGTCAACCTGGGCAGGTTTGAGGAGGAGGAGGCCCATCCTGGAGCTGGGACCGCACGAGGGTGAGACGGAAGGATGGAGATGGGGAGGGAGAGAATGAGGGCAATTATATGAGTATTATAGTTAAGTGCACATGTGTGCATGCGTGTTTATGTACCGTCCCGGCCTTCATAGATGCTTGCTAACTGCACTTGCCCCAACAGTCTGTTTGAAGGATCTACGAGGGGATGTTTGTCTTTGTTGTCCGGCACAGAGCGGCGCGTTCTGGTGCGCGAGCCTGCGAGCGCGTACCTGCACCTGGCCGTGGACCACTTCGCACTCGTGCTGGTGGCGTGTGCGCCGGTGCTCGACATGGCGCCGAGATCGCGCGCGTGCACGTGACCCGTGTGCGCTCCCCACGCTTGCACGTGAGTGGCACATTACAACAGCATCAACAATAACAACAGCAGCAACAACTATACGTCTCAAAATTTATTTTGGGTATCATAAATCCTCCTCCACCCGACACAGTGGTGCGATGGTAGGTGGTGGTGTGTTTATAATGGCATGATGATGGTATAATGTTAGATGATGCTGTGATGTTAGATGTATGTTGAACTTATTTCGCAATGTACGTAGACACCAGTGCTTAACGGAGGTGTGTTTGCGATGGCATGATGGTTTAATGATGGTGTGATGATGATGGCATGATAATGGTGTGGTGGTAATTGATGGTGTGATGATGAAAATGCGAAGTTACATGAAAGTGTCATCATGATGATGGTGGTAATGTGATGTTCGAAGCTGTGTTTGTGTGATGGTGTGATAATAGTGCGATGCTCGATGATAGTGTCAAGATGATGATAGTGGTTTCATGCTAGAAGCTGTGCTTGTGATTGCCTGATAATGGTGCAGTGGTAGATGGTGTGATATCCCCCCACAGGTGATGGAGGGGACCCACGTGGGTCGCGATCTCATCTCCGAGCTCTGCTTCACGAACCCCGTGGCACGCGCCCTGCACCGCGTGCGCGTCCGCGTAGAGGGAGCCGGCGTGCCCGCGCCGGGCAACATACTTGTCGGGTATGGTGCCGTCGTCACAAGTTCACGATCATAACAAGATCAAATGGAAATAGACGATGTTTCGGGCAACTACCCTTGTTCATAACACACGTGTTATCGATTGAACCAAACACATTTGCTATGAAGACGGATCATCGCCCGAAACGTCAGTTATTATATAATTTTCTTTTTAAGTCCAGGATGTTATTGACGATTGAGAGTTAAAATTTTTGCGTGCGTATGCACCACTACTAATGCAATCCCACAATACTGTTTATGTGTTTAGTGACAATTATACCTGATGCTCACGCTTCTGCTGATGATGATGATGATGATAACACGTGCCTGTATGTGTCTCTCGCTTCACGATAGTGTAGCGGTGAGTGTGATTTGTTATGCACCCGCGACCCAGTTCTGGGCCTCCCCTAGGTCGATTCAGCCTCAATTGACTGAGGCGGTGTGTGCAAGCTTCAGCACTGGGGGTACAATAGCCGGTCAGACGTGCTGCCCACCCCACCCGTTCTTGTGCCTGTCCCGGCCTTAACAGGTGCTCGCAGTACTTGCCCCAACAGTTTGCTGTAGGCTATACAGGGGACCTTTGTCTTTGTGTCTGTCTCGGCGCAGCAACGTGGAGGGGCACGGCTACACGCGCGTGCCCGTGGTTCCCAAGCGCCGCGGGGAGCTCACGCTGATCGCGAGCCTCGACTGCACGGAGCTGCCGCAGGTGCACGGGGGAGCCACCTTCCAGTGCGAGCCCTGAGACTTCAACATCACCACCATCATCAACATCATGAGTCAACCACCATCATCAGCATCGAGAGTGGTACCACCATGATCGTGATCGAGTGAACTATCATGAACGTGTTCATCATCATCATTATCATCAAGGTTGCACTCATGACACACAAAGTGCTTGCCACAAATATATCACAAATTCCTTGCTGATCTCGTCAAGGAGCGTAAACCATCACGAGAACTCCGCTCATCCTCGCAGTGGCTTTTGGATAGCCATCAAACAAAGACTGGTCACTGCATCGCGCACTTTCAGATCCGCTTGTGTGGCCGTCTGGAGCACTCTTTCTTCCGATATCAGGAAGCCGCTGAAGCTCTTCACTGTTAAATGTAGATTGAACACTCATTTATTTAGAAATGCGTTTTGTGTTTAGTTTGTTGTCCTTCCCCGCACCTCCGACTCGCGCGGTTGGCTGCGCACGGTGCGAAAGAAGTTCAACGTACATTTCAACCACCAGGATCGTGTTCATCATCATAAGATGATCGTTATCAGAATCATCAAATTGAATGGGGACCAAAAATCGTGACGGGGTGTGGGGGGTGGAGAATAATCATTACAGAGCCGATGTTATGCACAGACTTCAGGCGCGATAGACAAGAACGCTACCGCCGTGACGTCACTGGAATGCGGTTACTCATGAAGAAGGGGAATGACATCGTTGATGTCGCCAGTGGCGTTTATTTAACCACGCGCATCGCCATCGCTTCCTTCTTCCAGTTCCTGCAGTTGTTGGAGACGACACCGCACCTTCGAGGTCTTTCGATGGTAACAGTCTGGCTCAAGGTCTTCCAATTGATCCTATTATATATAGATTTATATTTTGGCTTATTACAAAGTGCTTTACAACAATTATAATATAAGATGATGGGTTAATAAAGGGGCTGTTGTAGTTATGGTAGGACAGGTGTGAGTGGTTAAGGAGGGGTAGCTACAGGAGTTAATATAGGGGTTGGGGTAGTGATAGGGGTTGGGCTAGTTATAGGTGTTGGGGTAATTTCTTATTTTATATTAATGGTATCGTTCAGTTACGTTCACTTTGGCATGTAAGCTGAAGGATTTTGCTTCTTCTTCAGTCATTTTCAAATTCAATTTCCTAACAAGGTAATTGTTCCAATGCGACTATGAAGACCTCGTACTTGCCAGCGTGATACCGAATTTAATAATAATACAGTAATGTATTGTGTTAATATCGATTTAAGTTTACTCATTCTGAAGTAGGCCATCCAGTGAAAACGTCGAGACATTATCAGGGACGGAATGAAGTGATGTATTTACCCCTTTTAATTTAGTCTAGTGTATGAGCAATTTGTTTTTGACACATGAACCTGAAATACAGTTCTAAAAGTATAAAGAGTAGCACCTAACTCAAGTCACGTACGTAACTTTACTGAAATAACCAAAGGGTATGGATTACTGTAGTCACGAAAGCTTCAAATCAAGATTAGTAGCACCTAAGTCTACCTCTTATCGTGACGTACTACATTAATAGTAGTACTTCTTCTTCTTCCTAGCGTTGTTCCCGCTGTGGCACAGGGTCCGCTTTTCGGCATTGTCTTCTCCATTTGGCTCGGTCCAGGGCATCTTCGGGGGATGCGTTGACCGTCTTCATGTCTTCCTTTATTCGATCCATCCATCGCTTCTTCGGACGTCCGCGTGGACGGCGTCCCTCTGGCTCAATACGCATGGCAGTCTTGGCCACTGATGACTCTTCACTTCGCATCACATGGCCGTACCACCGAAGCCTTGCCTCAAGCATCTTGTCCGCACTGGGGGCCACACCAAGTCGCTTCCGAACGTCTTCGTTCATGACACGATCCCATCGAGTCAGTCCAAGGCTCCATCTGAGCATCCTCATCTCCATGGTATGGAGGGCTTGTTCGTGTACAGTTGTGGCTGGCCAGCACTCGGATCCATAGAGTGCCACTGGTCGGACGATGATCTTGTACATTTTTCCCTTCAGCCTATCCGGCATTTTCCGATCACAGAGGACTCCGGTGACTTGCCTCCACTTCATCCATGCCGCATTGACTCGTGACCTCACATCAGTCGTGATGCTTCCATCTGAGCTGATGGTGGCGCCCAGGTACTTAAAGTCCGTCACTTTCTTCAGATCTTCTCCGTCAATGCTGATGGTGCCGTCAGTTTGGGTGCCACACTCCATATACTCCGTCTTTTTGATGTTGAACCTCATTCCATTTTCGTCCAAACGTTCCTTCCACAGGCGCGTTTGTCTTTCCACATCTCCTCTCTCTTCATCTGAGAGTAGGACGTCATCCGCATATAGAATTGACCATGGCAGGGGCGTGTGCAGGTCAGCAGTGATCATGTCCATGCACAGGATAAACAGGAGTGGTGACAGGGCCGATCTTTGGTGCACTCCAACGCTGATGGGAAATGGCGGTGATATGCCCACTGCGCACCTGACTGCACTGGTGACGTTCTTGTATAGGAGTTGCACCCAATGCACGTAGGTTTCAGGGACTCCATGGGATCGAAGCGAGTGCCAGATGAGGTCGTGGGGGACCCTGTCAGATGCCTTTTCAAGGTCTAGGAACGACACGTGCACAGCTTTGTTCTTCTCTCTGTGCCTCTCCAGCAGGAGCCTCGCCACGAATATGGCGTCCGTAGTGCCACATCCTTTGATGAAGCCGCATTGGTTGGGTGATGGGGTGATGATATTTCTAATCCTCGTGTCCAAAACTCGCTCAAAGATCTTCATCGCATGACACAGGAGCCGGATTGGCCTGTATTTCGAGCATTCTGCCACGTCCCCTTTACCCTTCCAAATTGGAACCGTCGTGCTGGTCGACCAGGCTTCTGGGACCTCACCGGTGCTCGTGATGGTGCTGAAGAGCTGGGTAAGGAGGGCAGCACCCTGCCTGCCAAGGATCTTCCAGGCCTCAGCAGGGATATCGTCCGGGCCAGTCACTTTCCCATTCTTCATTCTATTGATAGCTTGTTCCACTTCGATGATGGTGATAAGCAAAACGGGACCGAGGACGTGTTCAGCGCTAATAATTGGTGGGTGGGGAAATTCCTGGTTGCAGATTCCAGAGAGGTAGTCGCTCCAGCGTTGAAGGATGGCGGGCGGGTCTCTGAGAGTGCTGTAATTCTCATCCTTTATGCATTTAACCTGACCAATATCCTGAGTCGAACGATGGCGCGTCTCTGCCAGTCGATAGATCTTATTGGCACCTTCTGGGGTGTCCAGTTCGACATCTCAGTTGGTCGTATTGAGCTAATTTCACCGCTGCTACTACTCGCTTCGCTGCCGATTTGCAGTTTCTGTAGTGTTGGTTATCCAGATATGCGAGCGTTTGGCGCCACTTCTTGAAAGCTAGCTTCTTCTCTTTCACTGGTAGCTGCACTTCTTCGTTCCACCACCATATTTGCTTGTCAATGAAGCGTTTTCCTGGCTTCGTTAGCCCCAGTGCTTCCGTTGCTGCTGTGCACAGTTGGCCGGCGAGATCTTCCCAAATCGCATTCGCTGGTCAGTTGGTGTTCACGTCAATCTGATTGAGGGCGACTCTCAGCTGATCCTTGCATTCCTTCATCCGCCACCACTTAATTCGCTGCTGTCCCGTTGTTGGTGGGCGATGTCGCTGGCCAAAGTCCATTTTCATGTCCATGACCAGGATGCGATATTGTGGGGCGATGTTGTCCGATGGTATGACTTTAGTGTTTGTCACCGTTTTCAGCTTATCCCGCTTGACAAGCCAGTAATCAATTTGAGTTGATCTCCCACCACTGGCGTACATAATAAGATGGGACGGTCTCTTCTTGAAGAAGGTGTTGGCGAGGACAAGATCATGGGCTTCCGCAAAGTCCAGGGCTCGGTTTCCCTCATCGTTCCGGGTACCATATCCTTGGCCATCATGGTTTCGAGGGTATCCATCCCGGGCGTTTCCAACGTGTCCATTTAGGTCTCCACCAATTACTAACTGCTCTTCTCCATTTATCGTTTGCATGTGTCCATCAAATTGTTCCCAAAATTCCTCCTTGGTATCTGCTGGGCAGCCAGACTGCGGCGCATAACAAGATACCACCCGGAGGCGTAGGTCGTTTGAGTCGATTTCGATGGACATGAGGCGGTCGGAAACACGGTGGACGGCCACGACGTTGTCTCGTAGATTTTGGCTGACTGCGATTCCAACGCCGTTCTTGGTGTTTCTTTCACCGTTGTAGAACAGTTTGTATCCTCCAATCTCCCTGGCCTTTGCTCCACTCCACTTCGTTTCTTGGATGCATACGATGTCGATACGACGGGCCTTTAGGGCAGCTGACAATTCTCGACTTCTCCCTGTCAATGTTTCGATGTTGAGTGTTCCCAGCCGTAGTCGGACTAACTTCTTTAGCCTGCCCCGTCCATGAGCAGGTAGCCCTCGTCCATTTCTCGCGTCGTTTGGGCGAGGGCGGCGTGCGTTTCCCCCGGGGGGCGCCCTAGCTTGTTCCAAGTTGATTTGACGTTGCCATAGATGCGACACAGAAATACTTTGGCCGGTGGGTCGCTCCATCTGACGCCAAAATAGTAGTACTATAGACCCTAATAAAAACCAAGAGGCCATTGAGATGGGGGCTTTCTAAATGTAAAGCAAATTTTTAATAAGTACAACTTAAAGCTTTCGTGACTGCAGGAATTCATATTCTTTGGGTCTTTCGGTAAAGTCATGTAGATAGAAATAATAATAAAATAATAAAAATGAAAATAAAGTTAATAAAAAATAATAAAAATGTCACGACGTTTCGATCGCAACACAAGCAATCGTCATCGGGAGGAAAAAGAACGTCGAAACGTCGTGATATTTTTTTTATTCACTTTATTTTATTATTGTATTATTATTTTTCTATCTATGTGACTTTACCGAAAGACCCAAAGGATAGGGGTAGTGATAAGGGTAGTGATAGCGGTTGGGGTAATGATAGGGGTAGTGATAGGGGTTGGGGTAGTGATAGGGGTAGAGATAGGGGTTGGGGTAGTTATAGGGGTAATGATAGGGGTAGACATAGAGGTTGGGGTAATGATAGGGGTAGTGTTGGGCGTTGGGGTAATGATAGGGGTAGTGATAGGGGTTGGGGTAGTGATAGGGGATGGGGTGGTGATAGGGGTAGAGATAGGGGTAGAGTTAGTGATAGGGGTTGGGGTAATGATAGGGGTGGTGATAGGGGTTGGGGTAGTGATAGGATTTGGG